TTCTTCTTCTTCTTCTTCTTCTTCTTCTTCTTCTTCTTCTTCTTCTTTTCCTTCTCCTTCTCCTTCTTCAATGATGGTCACCAGGGAATGATAGAAGCCAGGATGTTTCATTTCTAACTACCCCACTTTCTCTTTTCTTTCAGCTTCTTGCCTATTTGAGGAATGTGCAGTTCAACAGCAGTGCTGGAGAGGAAGCCTCCTTCTCAGAAAATGGCCTGGTGTCTCCTCATTATGATCTTCTCAACTGGATTTTCCTCCCCAATCAGTCTTTTGTCCCCATGAAAGTTGGGCAACTACATCCCAGGGCTCCTACAGGCCAGGATTTAATCATCAACTCTCAGGCAATCACCTGGGCCAGAAAGGTGAGCTAGAAGTTCTTAATCCAGAGAAAGGTTCATTCTTTCCTAGGGATGCAGCATGTCCCTCTAACTGAAGAAAAGGTGGGTTGAATCAGAAAAGATGCAACCCACCTGTCTGGTGACAGATCTATTTTTCCATACACCAGATTCAAGTTTGATTTGTGCCATGTCCACAAAGTATGAGGATTGGCAAAATATCCTGGCTGAAACCCAGAGTGCAGTTACAGAAGGCATCAGTCAACCAGAAATATTATTTGTTGGATATATTGCCATAGGGCTATGAAAAAGGAGCTGTATATTTAGTTTTAATTAATAATTCAATATTTATATAAGCCATGCTGAGCCAATCACGTGACCACCTAGCCATGCCCACAAATTAGGCCACACCCACAGAACTCATTGTTAAGAAATTTGAATCCTACCCTTGGCTTCTCGCCTAGGTCACACATAGCAGCTTACTCACAAGACCTCGGAAAATCACTTCATGCAGACAGCCATTTCTCCAAAGGGCTGGCTAGACATGGCTCATCAGGAGCAAAATGATGGTGAAAGTCAGCTGGGGTGATGGAGCATGGGACTTAGAGTGTCAGGTGATGAAGATGGCTGCAGCTGGGTCTCTGCTTTGTGTCATGCAGATGGGCTTCAGCAACTGGAGGTTTTTCTTTATGCATCTATGCTTCAAGCTGCAGTGCTGGGGCAGCTGAGGTTTCCTGTTAAAAACAGAAGGAACTTTGCAGGTCTTCTGTACTAGTCCAACCCCCTGCAGGAGACCTTGTACCCTTTCACACAAATGCCTGTCCAATAATGCCCTTGAAAACCTTCAGTAATGAAGCACCCACCACCTCTGAAGTCACAAATCTTCTCCTTTCAATCTCTCTTGGATATGTTTCAGTAGGAGATGACCAGGATGAACCCTAGGGTGAAGTCAAACAAATCATCAGTTTGGGGTTGCTACTCCCATGTAAAAGACCTTAGTCCAGTTCCCCTTGCATTTGGATGACTCTTATCTGGCACCAATTTGCCTTGACTTTTAGTAGATCAGACTCTTGTGAATAGATAGCATGAAATAAATTTGCTATCAGGAATCTGACAATCGCCCTAATTAAATCAAAAGCCTTGAGGCAAGCTTCAAAAAACTTCAAAAGATTTATGAGAGGCAACATGCTGGTATGACCTGTATCAAGCCAACTCAGAGACTCGTAATTTACAATCATCTATGACCCTGTCTTCCCCCCACCCCCTTGGGTGTATCATAACTCAGCTTCTCCAACGAAGCACGTTCATGGGCTGAGTGTCATCACTCACATTCTCCAAAAAAGGATTTTTGCGGGCAGAATACCCGGTTGCCTAAGTTACAATCTTTGTGAGATAAGAGTGGAATGTGCTTCTGTTTTAATTTGCCAAATTCTCCTTCAGGTCTTTCCCCTCCTCTTTCTCATAGCAACTTGGAAAAAGGCATAGGAATGTTCTACAAGTTGACACTAGAAGTACTTTTGAACCTCTTCTTACCATCCTGCCTTGGAGTTTCCAAAACACCTTTGCAGCCTTTTACTGGTTACCAGTGGACATGGAGTATTGGGGTGAGGGTTGAAGGGGAAGGTTAGCCTAATGCTTCACACATGAATTACAGACTCCACCTGACTTTTCTGCAATCACAATCTCTCAGTAAAAGTTCCTTTTGAAATGCTAACCATTTCAGGAGTTTTACTTTCTTGAGAAGGTAGCTGAGGCAGGTCCTTACAGAGACGTCAATGTGGAAATTAAATGATGCATGACCATTGAATAGACCTTTTCAAACAGTTCTCTTTGCTGTCTTAGAAGGTGCCCTATGGCAGGTGTACCATGAAGAGGTGCCATGCAGGAGAGAGGAAGAGCGTTCCAGAAGGCAAGGAGGTTTGCTGCTACCACTGTGCCCCTTGCCCAGAAGGGACCTTTTCTGATCAGACAGGTAGAACATATATCAAATATACATCTTCCAGGATCAGCCATTAAATAGATCAAAATAAATAAAAAAGGCAAAATAGGGGAGGGAGGGAGGGAGGGAAGGAAAGGGGGGTAGAAAGAGTGGGGAGAGAGGGGGGAGGGGAGAGGGGGAGAGGGAGGGAGAGAGAGGGGGGGGAGAGAGAGAGAGAGAGAGAGAGAGAGAGGGAGAGAGATGATCCCGGACACATTTTGGACCAAGGGTGATTTGTCCTTTTCAGTGCATGTAAAGTTCCCGGGGTCCTTCCATCACTTTCTTTTTGAGTTGGCCCCTGTAGAAAGGAGCCATACTTGACTCTCTGGGCAGGAGGGATAATGCTCACTGTAGATACTCCTGCATACTTAGACAAAGATTCTTGACTTCAGAAGCAGATCAATGTGACCACTGCCCGGAAGACATGTATCCCAACAAACACAAGGACCACTGCATTGCCAAGAAGATCCACTTCCTCTCTAATCAAGACACCCTGGGATACACTTTAGTTTCTCTCACTCTTTCTCTCTCTGTGATCACAATGGCAGTTCTGGCAATTTTCCGGATGCATCATGATACACCAATTGTCAAGGCCAACAACCAAAATCTCACCTACCTCCTCCTGGTCTCCCTCCTGCTCTGCTTCCTCTGCTCCTTCCTCTTCATTGGTCGACCCAGGAAGCTCACCTGTCTCTTCCGACAATCTGCCTTTGCCATTCTCTTTTCCCTTGCAGTATCTTCTGTGTTGGCAAAAACTGTCATGGTGGTTCTGGCCTTCATGGCCACCAAACCAGGGAATAAGTCAAGAAAGCTCTTAGGGAAACCACTGACCAACTCCATTGTCTTAGCCTGTCCCCTGATCCAAGCAATTCTTTGTGCCACCTGGCTGGCAAAGTCACCCCCATTTCCCAACATGGACTTCCACTCTTTGGTAGGAGAGGTCATCTTGGAATGTAATGAAGGCTCAGCTTCAATGTTTTATGCTGTCCTTGCCTACCTGGGTTTCCTGCCCCTTGTGAGTTTTATCATGGCCTTTCTGGCTAGGAAATTGCCTGACAGCTTTAATGAAGCCAAGTTCATTACTTTCAGCATGCTGGTCTTTTGCAGTGTTTGGATCACCTTCCTCCCCACCTACCTGAGCACTAAAGGGAAGTCCATGGTAGCTGTGGAGATCTTCTCCATCTTGGCCTCTGGGGCTGGTCTCTTGGCTTGCATCTTTTTTCCCAAATGTTACATTATCCTACTTAGGCCCCATCTTAATTGTAGGGAAAGCATTATACGAAAGAAGAACACTTAATTAATGCAGAGGTCTGATTTTTTGTAGATTAATGAGGTATCATTAGAATGTAATATTTGTAAAAAAAAATAATGGGAAGAAGGAGGAACTTGTCAATTAAATAATTCCTTATCGATTCCTACAGGTGGTCACAATATACCAATTATCAGCAACAATTCCCATACTTTCTACCCCTCAATTTCTTCCAGTTGTCCCTATTGAGGCCCAGTGCTCTACATGGTAATAAAGCTGACATTGAAGATATTTTTATCATTTGAAGGAGGACATTTTCTCATTTTATTCACTTTTGTTGAATTTTATAGCAATTTTTAAAAGCATTTGATTCAGTATCAGTGCTTTTAAGCATATATTTTCATTTCTGTAGTCTCCAGACATGTTGTAGAATTCCCTACTACAATACAATGGTTTGTGGAGGTGGGGATTTAAACCTGTAGGCTTTAAATTCCCTCCACCCCAGTCAGTTCAACTGTGCTGCGACATCCATTGTAGCAGAGCTTTCCGGCATGAATGAGAGAAGAAGTGAGTGGTGTATAAAGTGTTTAAATGTTCTTTTGTGCGATTTCGTATCTTAGAGCTTCTCAGTAAACCATGGTGCCCTATGATATCTGCATGAACAGGATTTGCAGAGGCATAGCTCAACTGAGGCCCCACACCAAAAACAAATTGCATTTATGTTTTTCCCTCAAAATCTCCTGTTGGGAGAAATAGCCATCTGGTTCAGTTCGAAGCCAGGAGAAAGGCCTTCGAGACAAAATGGAGGCTGGAGGTTGATTGGAAAGAGGGTCCATTTATTGATGAAGCAGAAGCCCATGGCTGGCTCTGGACAACTGACCCCATAGAGTTGAGAGAGGGTGGCAATTGTACAATCTCTTGGGCTTTGAACTTGAGCTTCCTGTTCCTGTGCAAGAACATGTTCTCCAGTAACATTGAATTGCTAACTGGAGCATATAAAACCTTTGCCAGACCATTTCTTGAATACAGCTCATCTGCCTGGAACCCACACTGTATGTCAGATATTAACATGATTGAGCAGGTTCAGAAGTATTTCTTGAGAAGAGTACTCTACTCCTCTACTCATAATAGAATTCCCTATGCCTCCAGGCTTAAAATTTTGGGCTTGGACAATCTGGAACTGCACCACCTGCAGTTTGATCTAAGCATAGTGCACAAAATTGTCTGCTACAACATCTTGCCTGTCAATGACTTCTTCAGCTTCAACCACAACAATACACAAGCACATAACAGATACATACAAGGTAAACCACTCCAAACTCAATTGCAGAAAATACTACTTCAGCCAAAGACTGGTCAACTTTACTTCCTATTTACTTCCTTTGTTTATGTTCATACCTATACTTGTTACGTTGTACATGTTTGACAAACAAATAAAATAAAACAAATAAAAATAAATACATGTATTCTATTGGCTGTTATAGGGGTCATAGCTGGCTGTGTAGGTTTTCTGAGCTAAGTTTGGTTGAAGTTTGGAGAGTGATGCAATGTCCCCAGGACATTGTGCAATGCATTGAGCCCTGTTGCTAGATAATCCTACTATGTCCTAGAGGGTCATGTCTTAATCCTATCACCCTAGAGCTGGGGGTCCTTTGTTTTGTAGATAGGCTGGTCCAATCTTTCCCAATGGGCACAAAATATATGCTTGGGGAAGGGAGATTGAGTCTGCTTTCCATCTTTTAAGAAAAACATGTTTCTCCACTTCTCATCCAGGGAAATATAATATTCTGCCTTTTTAATATTTCTCAAAAAATTTCATTCTTCTAGGAGAAGGGTGGGTACTAACTTTCTACATTCCCAAGATGTGATGGTCATTCCAGCCTCTTACATAAAGCCAGCAGAAAACCTCTCAGTGAGAGGTGAGCCAGCAAATAATTCATTTCCCATGACATGTAGGAATTTGAAGGTAACAATCAGTACTTTGAATTGTACTTGCATGAAATCAAACAAATAATCAAAACTTCAGTAAAGTTTTCCCCTATCCAGTTGCATCTGACTAAAAGAGGTAGAGCTCTTCTCCATTTATCACAATCAAACAATCAGAAAAGAGCTGAAAGGAACCTTAGAGGCCTACTAGTCCAACCCCAGGGGTTCAAGCAGGAGACCGTATACTCATGGTCGCAAGCAGGTGGAATGCAGAGCCCTCTCTGTGTGCACGCACACCGTCATCCCAGCTCAGGTGTGCTATGCATGCGTGCACGCCTCCCGCCAGCCAGCTGGTTTTGGGGTCTCTGCTGTGCATGCAGGGGGTGGGGCACATACATGGGGGCAGGACACATGAGGAGGCAGGGTACACACATTACATTTCGGTATGCACACATGCGTGCTTTGGGCTCTCGGTGCCGAAAAAGTTTGCCATCCCTGCCTTATTCCATTTCAGACAAGTGGCTGTCCAGTCTCTTCTTCAAAACCTCCAGTGATGAAGCACCTACAACTTCTGAAGGTGAACTGTCCCACTGTTAGGAGGTTTCTCCTTAATGCCTGGTTGCTTTTCTCCTTGATTAGTTTCCATTTGTTATTTCATGTCCTGCCTTCTGGTCAGGAGTGGGATACCACTAGCTCGGACCAGTTTGGGTGAAACCCTTGCTCGGAAGATCAGCTAGCAGCGAACCGGTTTGCTGTGATGAGCACGTGGCCCTGCCTGCCCGGCCCTGCTTTTTCCTGTGCTTTATTTCCTTTTTTCAGAGCACAGCTGATTCGTGCGGCACCTCCGCTGTTTTATTCACAGGGGCTGCAGGAGAAGGTAAGTATTAGAGTTTTTTAAAACATGGAGTGCGTGTGCACACGGGATCAACAAACCGGTTGTTATACCAGTGGAATCCCACCTCTACTATTCTTCATCTGCTTTTGTCTCTAGGCCTTTAATTGTCTTAGTTTAGAAGAAACCCTCCCATATTACCACCTCTTACAATACTAGACTACACAGTATCAACAGTAGAGACCTTCAGATTTCTAGTTTCTATCAAGTCTCAAGACCTAAAATGGACACCTATCCTTACGATTTATACGGACTGTTTCCTCGTATGATTTGATTGCTTATTGTACCCTATGACTATTATTAAATGTTAAACCTTATGATTCTTTTTTTTTTTTGAACAAATTTTATTGATTTTCCAAAACAATACACAGACAAACAAAACATAAAATATAATGACATAAGAGTTTTTTTTCTTAAAAAGCCAATACAACATCTTATTTAAAGACAGAATTATTCCAAGTTATCACATTTCCAAACAAGCACAATTTGATATATATATTTACCTTATCTGTTCATCTTCATATCTTATCCCAAACTTCTCTTTATTACTTCCTTTCCTTCTATTTATTCAAATTATATCTCTTTAACTTTAGATTGTGTACATTTTTTATATCCATCTGTCTTATACATTTTCATTATTCTCTTCCAATAAAAAAAACAAACAAGACATAAAACATAAAAACATAAACATCTTTTCTGAAAGTTGCTTGATCCTGGGTTAAAACTCATCGTACAGACACCTCTTCAAAAATCATGTTCCTTTTATATATCATTCCATATCTTATTACCGTTTTCCATTTTCTATATAGCTTCTTCCTTTTTTTAACTCTCTTAATTTTATTCTACTTATCTCAGTTCAAGTCATAATATTTAACATTCTTTGTCTGTTCTCAGCTATCCATTCATTTTTTCTCTTTAAACAAAACCTCTCCTGTACACTAATTAGAGTATGACGCCTTTAACTCTTCCCCCTAACCTAATAATACTTAATATCACACATAACTTGTATTGGGATTCTGTTTAGCACATCCTAAAGTCACACAATATATTATATAAAAAGAAAAAGAAAAAAGAAAGAACGACAATAACAAAGAAATTTATAGATATATAATATAGGTAGTACCCCTGTCAAAACCATTTTAATCGTACCTATTGATACTTATTTATATATTTATATCTTAAACATTTTATTCTATAAATGCCTATAATAACACAATCTTATGTACTTTACAGAATCCCTTTTTCAATTAAGTTTACCCATTGTCTCTAAATAAATTTTGTTTCTTCAGATCTTGCTTCCCATCATTGAGACTTCTCACCCCTTCCTTTCCCCCTTGCTTATTCTTTTCCTTACCCTTTTTCCCCCTTTGTCTTTCCACCTCCCTTTTCTTTTTGTGCTTTCCCCCTTCCTGTTGTTTTCTAACCTTATATCTACCCTTCAACTCATTTTTATCTTTTTTGGTTGTTTTTTTAGGTTTTAAAATCCCTTTTTCCTTTTCCTCTTCCTCCTTCTTCTCCCCCAATAGGGTCACATGTTCATCAAAAATGGTTCCTTCTTTGTCCCAATTACCCTGCTGCGCAATCAATTCTCCATAGGAATGCACTGCCATTTCTAGAGATTGAAAAAGAATGTCCAAGGTATCTTTCCAGTCTTGTTCTTCCTTTTTATATTTTAGATATTCAGTTTTAAATTCATCCAAAAGTGGTGCCATTATAAAGAGGAGAAATTTTTCCCAAAACAACCACCCGAGTGTTTTTAAACAAAGAAAAAAAAGTTTCCCAAAAGACGCAAAGTCACCAAACAATCCAGATAGACTATTTCATTTAGCACTTTTTCTCTTCTTCCATTTCTTTTTCTGGGGTTGCTATTAAATCACAAAATTCCAATTATAGTATGTCTTTTGAAGTCTTATTAATGTTCAAATGGCTCTTTAAAATTCTAGGCAGTCTGCTCCTTATTTTCAACTTCTACTTCAATTTTTTTCCTCTCCCTTCCCACTCACAGCAGAAGAAAAAGTTTTCTTTAAATATTTAGAAATCCATATCCCTTTGGCATTAGCATAGTCTTTAGCATTTAGCATACCTTCAATGCGGGTTTCCGATTTCTCTCAAAGCTGTTCCGTTTGGAAGGAGAGTGAAAAGAAAAAAAGTTTTCCCTTTGATATCCATTCGCTGCTTACTCAGTCTGGGAGCAATGTGTCTTTAGTAGGTGTTAAATACCAGGATACTT